GCCCCGCCCCGCCCCGCAGAGTTTGCCTACGCGAAGACGCTCTGCGCGATCCGAGCAGAGGATCTCGGGTGACTCCAATATGATGAAAGGAGTGAGTAAACAGGACTCAAAGCAGACATAGGTGTTCTAAAGGTTTTCGGCGGTTGAGTGAGAACGTAGGCTTCCGCGGCCGGAGTCAGTATTTAATTGGCTGTCCGGGTGACGCCACGTCCATGCCAAAGTTGCCGACGTTTCAGTTTTCGTTTTCTGCGGTTGGTTATCTAGCCATTACTATCTGCTAAAATATGAAAATATTATTAACATTAGTTTAATCCACTTATGGAAGATTTTCAAAACATAGTAATGTATTTAAGTAACTTGGTGATTTGGATTATGTTTGTCATGACAGATAAGCATTAGTAATTCACTGAACATATGAACTGGTGTTTAATAGTGGCAGTAGATACAGCTCAATTTATCAAGGAAACGTGGATTAATAAAGTACTAGCTGAAGTACTTTAGAGCTTCCCAAGTATTTTTTATTACAATCATCTCTTGGGGCGGAAAAATATTTCTATCAATATGGTGAAAAAGAAATTTTTTTATTTACATTCCTGCCTTCCCACTATGAACCGATTTGGCCGCTCTGCTGCGCCCTGCTCCCTCTGTGGGCCGGTCCCATCCTGGCCTTTCCCTCGACCCGTCTAGCTCGCACCGCTGACCAGCAATCACTAATAGGTCAATGCCCGGAAGAAAGCGTGGGGATGGAGGTGGAGGTATGTGTGGGTGCGGTGGTGGAGGCCCAGGTGGTGGTGGTGCGTAAAGAGGGAGATGATCATCGTGTTGGGGTGTAGGCGGAGAGTCGGGAATGGTGAGTTGATTGCGAAGCAAAAACGGAATACCTTTGCTAAACCAAAAACTGCTCTCTTTCCTTTCAATATTTGACCTTTTGAGAAACTACTATTGATAAATTACTATTTCTTTCTTTACATAACTGAAACGTAAAGTCAGCTGAAAATGTACTTAGGAAAGTAAGAAATCAATTTTTAAGTTTTCTTTTATAAATAATTTTCAAGAAAACACTGTTTGACTGAATTAAATATGGATTAGTATTAAACATGCTCTCACAGGTACCCACACATGTTTTGTCAAGTGTGAAAAAATCCACAGTCCTCTCCTCCGCGTTTCCAGAAAACACATCTCATCTAATTTGAGTTTGGAAAGCAGCACCGGTCTCAAAATTGGCACCCCCACGCGGAACAGGCCGCATATTCTTTCAGAAGGTTGAGGACGGCGGCGAGCGCGCGGTGAGGACGGGGGCGGTGAGGACGCGGGGCGGACGGGACAGCCCGAGGGTGGACGCGGGAGCGCGGGCGAGGGCAGATGGGTGAGGGCGAGGGAGGGATGGTCTCTGGCGCCGCTGTCAGTGCTTGTCGAAGTCTGCCCGTCGAGCCCATGAATAATGTATGCAGAAACAAAGAAGAGGCGATGGCAGCGCGGATTTCCGCCGCGAGGAGGCCTCTCAGCGCCCCCCCTCCCCCGCCCCCGCCGCCATGTTTCGTCTCGCCCGCTGTCTCTAGGTTGCGCCTGTGTTCGCTCTTCCTCACTAGCAGTGATCGCTGAGTATTGGCGGTAAGCAATCGCAATACGTAATCCCTCACGGTGGTTCGGAAGGAAGGGTAACATACATTGTGTACAAAAAACATAATGGAATTGACAGATACGAAGGAGATGATATAGCTTAGTAAGTCGTAAGTACGTATTTGCTGACGCAGAACTTGTTATGTCATTTTTCGAGAAATGTGTTTTCCGGCGGTTAAGTCACAACTTGAAGTACTGGTAACAGATTAAAGAAGTATACTCTAGCGTTATAATGTGATAATTCTCTCTTTATTGTGAAGAGCGAAGCCAATTTCTTTTTTTTTCAGCACTCGTACCTGGAAGCTAGTAATTGCCTTCATTGTATATTGATTGAAACGCGTTTCTTAAAGTTGAACGTGCGGCAAAATATACTTTGCCGCACCCGTACCGAAAAAAATGCATTGTCCTGTAAAACAACATCAATACCTTTTGCACAGTAGGCAAAACAGTGGTTGAACATCAATCATCGTCGCAAACTACCTCAAATATTGAGAATTATCCCAACAGTATATACTTGTAAATTTTAGTGAATTCAACTCGATATATATATATATATATATATATATATATATATATATATATATATATATATATATATGTGTGTGTGTGTGTGTGTGTGTGTGTGTGTGTGTGTGTGTGTTTGTGTGTGTGTGTGTGTGTGTGTATTTAGAGCAGCTAGGCGTAAACCAGAAGGCCCAGGCCCGAACGTTCGCACTCATTTCAAAACTCCAGTAACAGTAAAATAAAATATCGTCCGTGCGTTAGGTAATTCTCGAGGCAACAAGTATAATTTTACCGCGCTGCCTCTTCAGTTACAAATAAAGCAACTTGCTAAATCTCTGCACAACGAGGAGTTCGAATGCAATCAGAATGGTACTCACCGATTTGTTACCAAGCTGCTTGACTTTGCAAGGCAGGTAGGCGTGAGTGCCTAGCTGCGTGGTGATGTTGGTGGACGTGGTGGGGTCGAAATAGGGCCCTGTGTACAGCCCACTGAACCGCTTCACGCGCTGCGGCAGCGGGCTCAGTGCCGCCACGCTCTCTGCGCCCAGGGCTGCCAACAAACAACGAAGCACTGGTCAACAAAACACTGGTCAACAAATACCTGGTCAACAAAGCTCTGGTCAACAAAGCACTGGTCAACAAAGCACTGGTCAACAAATCACTGGTCAACAAATCCCTGGTCAACAAATCCCTGGTCAACAAAAGACTGTCAACAAAGCACTGTCAACAAAGCACTGTCAACAAAGAACTGGTCAACAAAACACTTCCAGATGTAGCAAGACAGAATTCACAAGAAGTCAATTTGCGTTGCCTCTGGGAAAATCCAATAGATCTGAAATTATGTAATGTATCACTGGTTAAGAAATGATAATCAAGACCATCAGGATGGAAGTTAAAGCTATGAAATTGTTTGCAATACAACAAATCGACCTTTAATACGTGGTTAAGATAAAACTAATAGCAACATTCTTGCAAAGAAATAAAATTAAACAATGACAAATTTTAACTTTGTAAATGAAGTCTGTATGATGTCCTAAAAAAAGAGTAGAAAAAGTACCAATTGTAGTGATTAAAATACATGTTGGAAATGATCACAGGTGGCCGTTTTAGTAATTGCTCAACCAGGTGGATTTAGCGGGAATACGAGTAATCAACACGGTGACTCATGAGGTGAACAGTGGGTCAAAATGACATCAACATGTCACATATCATAAGTACATATTCAATCGCCGTCAAAAATATAAAAAAGAGTAATTACTTTTTGAAGATCTTTTTTCTCCTTAAGTCTTGAGCGATCTTCATATCGGCTGCCATCCACAAGTCGCGACACTACCCATAACATCATTACATTCTGCATTATATTTCAAAACCAGCCGTTTCGGTAGATTTTTCTTCTCTCATCTCATCGCTCACGTAGTACCGTCACTCTTCGCGATGGATGAATAATTGGCAGCCCAGACGTAATACAAGTTGATATCTGTACGAATGAAATATGTGATGGTGAAGGTGATATTAAGTAAGTAATATGAAGTGCCAACAATGCCGCAGTCACATGTTACAACTGCGTTACGTGGGATGTGCGGAACTATTCCACTCCGTCTGGTTTCTGCCTTCACGCTACCCAGAGCGGCAATATGCAAAACAAAACACGGAAAATGCGTCTACAACAACAACTCGTCTATTGTTCGTTTTACATAAAAATTTCCTATGAAAAATTATTAATTTTGCCTTAACGGGACATGTGCGATTGTCGCTGACAGTCGTATTTCTCTTTTACACTTATAATGCAGCACATGGGAGAGATTCACAAGCTGTATTTTGTCCTCTAGAGATTTTTTGTCCTAACTATTTTTCGACGTAAGTTTGGTTGAAGTTACTCCATAGTGCAAAAATGAGGTTGAACAATACACACACACAAATACACTCACTCTATTTTGCATATACAGCACACTCTCGTTGTTTGCTTATTTGAATATTTTTGAATACTTGTAGATTTTGCACGTTTTGCATGTTTAGTTACTTACTTGTATATTTATTTTTTAGCGCGAAGCGCATTTTTGGGCCCAGTGTGCAGCGGGGCCGTGAGCGGAGGGTGACGAACGGCTCCAACCTGTGCCGCTTTATTTCGCCTATTTATCTCTCGCCCGCGTCGACGCGCGCCGGGGGGCGGTGGCGTCGCCGAGCGGGGCACGGGGCACGGGCCGCGCAGGGGGGGGGGCGCTCAGGAGCTTAGCACGGAAGTCCCCCCTTCACCCCCAGCATCTGCATTTCAAACATTCATCAAAACTTATGAATCACAAGTCGGCGAAAGCAACGCAGACGCGCGCGTGCGGCGGAGATGGGGCGAAGGAGGCAACAAAAGGCATAAGAATGCACAGCACTTCAAAAGACGCTTTTTTTACTTATTCCTGCTTCGTAGCTTCATCAACTTTTTCTCTTCTTTTCTAAACACATGTTACATTCATCTCGTTTCGTTGCTGGGGGTAATATAAAAGTTTCTTCGCCGCGGTCGTCGCTTATGTGTGCGCATGCGCATTTCGTGCTTTGTAGCGTCGCGGCCGCGTGTCCGCTCTGGGTTCAATTGAGGCGTTTCCAAAGAAAGCTAAAAAGAAAGGGAGAAAGGAAAGGTAGGGGAAAGAAAGGGAAGGAGGATGGGGTATCCGTCGCGATAAAATATATATAAAAGTGTATCCCGGAGGGGCATAAAAGAGAGGAAGTCGTTAGGGAGAGGCGCACGGCAACCTGTCGTCCATCACAGAGCGCCGCGTGCACGCCGCCACCTCCGCCGCCCTCGCCGCCCCCGCGAGCCGGTCACGTGCCCCGCGCGGCGCCCAGAGCCCCCCCCCCCACGCGGGAGGGGGCAGAGGCCCCAATTGAGGCCGTGATTGCGGTGGAGGCGCTGGATGGCGGTGCCAAATTCTGTGAAACCGCTGTTTCGAAGCCAGCTATGAGGGGCGGTGGGTGGACGGCTAGGTGGCTAGGACGGCTGTGGAGGCTATGGAGGTGGCTGTGGTGGTAGCGGTGGCTATGGTGATGGTGGTTGTTGGGGCGGTGACAGTTTAGGGAGTGGTAGAAGATAAAAATATTACTTCTTTTGTTCCAGATCTGTGAGAGCGACTGCTGAATTAAGGGAACTGGAGGCCTGAGGTCAGAAGATGTTGCGAGCAGCTCAGCTGCACATGTACTTGTTGAAGGTGTTTACACTTCGGGAAATGGATATGGAATATTTGGCGAAATGAAATATTTACAAGAGTGTCAATTATATGATGTCAAGGAACAATTTAACTTCTTAATATGTAGCGTACAATTATATTCTTTAAATTCCTAGATGACAAAACGAAACAACCGAATACATATTTTCTATAGATTACGCATTTGAAATTTCGGAGTTTTGGTACTTGCTCTAATATCTAACAGTATTTTTTGACTTGCTATAACATTGTTTCTCAGCATAAACATAGTTGTCTGTTCTTGTCTTGAGAGATACTCTTATCGAGAGGAAAGTCTCCACACATACACACAAAACAAAACCTTTCATAAAATATCATGAAACGAGTATAGCTGCGAGGACAAATATTACTACAGAGATATATCTGAGGGAACACCCGGTCGCTGATAGAAGATCAACACGAAAGCACATAAGGAGAGTCTTTTGAAAAAAAAAAAACGGTTTTAATACAGTAAGTGACTTTAATGAGAATAAAAATGTATAGATCCATCAAGGAACAGTAGTTAGAATGTTTATGGCTATTGGAATGTGTTTCTCTAGACATACTATTCGTTTTCATTATGTTCACTAAATCGAGAATTTTAAACACTGCGAATCAAAACTTCTGAGAATACAGCAGACCACAGTTAGTTTTACAGAATATTCTAGCGACAGTTTCAGAGTAGCCACTCACAGGGAGGAACTACAGTGGAGGTCCGCTGGTGGTGTGGGAGAAGGGGGAGGGGGAAGGAAGGGGAGTTTGGGAGGGTGGGCGCGAGGGGCGCTCGCAGCGGTTGAGGGGAGTGGAAACGGCTGCTGCTCTTGCGGTTAGGTTTGCGCGTGGGAGGGGTAGAGGGGATAGTTTAGGAGGCCGGATAGATATTCTGGGAGGGGGAAGATATTCAATAAGAAATAAACGTACATAAATATTTGTTTCGCCAGCACAAACTCTATGGTTAACTAAATATTCTTTCGTATTTTCCTCCTAAATGAGTAATACTCATAGCTTTTAAACAATTGAAATAAATAATTAATTGCGAAACATTATATACTACGTCTAAACTAGAATAAAGTATGCTGGGCTTTAGATGAAAAAAAGGAGGGTATCGTTTAAGAGGTTGGGGAATGTTATACTGAAAAGGGGAAAGACATTTTAACGAAATAATATGCACGAGGATTCGTTTGGCCTTTACACCCCTTCTACCTTCGAATTTGTACTAGATGGCGGGCGTTTCCATTCTAGATGAATAGTTGCTTCTTAAATATTTAAACAAATTATTAATTGCGGACCATTCTGCATGATGGGTTTCGGGGGTGTAAGGGGAGGAGATAGGTATACTCGTTCTCGCCTTCGAAAACATCGAACAAAATGCAAGATAATTCGTTTCACCAGACACACTATCTGTAATCGTATTTGAAACTATATGACGATCAAAATATTTCTCTTAGATGAGTAATCACATCTAAAACATTTAAATACACTGTTATTCGCGGAACGTTGTGTACTACGTCTAGGCTACTCAAAGGCTAAGCAAGGATAGGATAGACTTCCCGTCGAACATATTCAATGCCGCTTCTGGTTGCGTAGGCTTCCGCGGCCGGAGTTTATGTTGGCTGGGCTATCCGGGACGAGCTGCGTCAATGTCATGTTGGCTAACATTTCGGCCAGCGTATTGTGGCCTTCTTCAGAGCGTACTGCTGTCAGATGGCTAGCGCGCTGGCCCGGATAGCCCAGCCAACAATGCCGCTTCTGTTCAGGGAGGCAAGAGGACAAACACTTTTTGAAGACGCTGCACCTACCAGCAAGGACTTTGATGCAGACACAGCTAGGCCATTGTTTTAATCTTAATTCACAGAATTTAGAACTTGGACATTTAAAAGTATGGCAAATTAATTAAATAAAATATACTTTAATATAACACACACAAATATACTTTAAATAAAACACACGCGACTCATCGCCATCGTAGGTTATGAAGACTTCGCTCGTAACTTTATTCAATTAACAGCGATTTATTTAAAAAAAACTGTATCTCGTTACTGATGTTATCACGCGCGTCACAAAATGTGTTATAAAATGTTATTTACAAAGTTTAGTTACAAATGTTATTTACAATTCCACAAATATTATTTACATGTTACAAGACGAATAATTTATGCCAGTGAAACGAAATATTCAGTGTAATTGATATTACGTTATTTTCTCCTTTGTTGGTTAATTTACTTATTTAATTTATTCATCTTTAATTATTTTATGTAAAATGTAGGACTAGTCTGCATATCACGTTTGAAAGGATTCTCCTTCGGCTGAAATACTGTAAAATAAACGACTGTTTCCAAGAGAATAACGGTGTCATGTTA